TCCTAATGAGTTTTCATTTTAAAAAAGCAAGTCCCAAATACATTTTAATACAGAAAGTTGAAACCCATTCTTCTGACATTGTTAAAACGTGCACACCAATTAACTGCCGTCTCTATACCTTTTTGTGTAACAAAATCAATGCTTTTTCTATTTGCTGTACAAAATTATACATACATCATCTGCTTAATTACTAAGTAATAATGGACTGTACGTGGCCTGAGCAATCTGTTCTRTCTGATCTTGTTTTGCAAAGAAAGGTTGGACTAGATGAGGTCCAGAGATCCCTTCCCATCTCTGCCATTCTGTGAATTTGTGACACAGTAAAATCTGAAGTAAGGATTTTTTTTCAAATTTCTATTTCTGCACAAGACAAATAGAGTCACAAAAACACAGAAGAGCTTTCCTACGAAGAAATAACCTGAGAATTAATAATGCATGCCCTTTTTCTTCAGGGCATTAACAAACAACTCACCTCAGACAATACTCAGGTTGCTATAGCCATTTGATAAGGCCTGATAATTGCCTAGTAAATTGCAATGCTTTGTTATTGCTATTCCTTTTGACCAACCTCTAGGATTAGCAGACAATTCAAGATTAGACAGTGYCCTGTTTCCTCCCCATGAAAATGAATTAAGCAGGTTCAAGTATCTTTACTCAGTCCTTATCCCCCTTTCCAGTCAATACTTAACCCCAAAGTACTTTTTTATTTTTACTCTCTCTAGTTCTCTTACTGTCCTTTGCATATTCTCCCTCTCTATATTTCTTAAGCTGCACTCCCAGACTTATCCCAACAATGTATTTGGTTTTTTGCCTCTTCACTGTTTCTTCCCCTAAGATTTTTGGCTACTCTCTGCTCCCTATGTAAACTCACAAATCTCCACAACACAACACAACACAACACAACACAACACAACACAACACAACACAACACAACACAACACAACACAACACAACACCCATCAGAAACTACTAGTCTCACATGCTTTACTCTTGCAATGTGTAAAGGTGATAGTCCCTTCAGAAAAGAAACGACTGTTTCTCATATAGCTTCCCAGCTACATCATCAAGAGATTTGACTGGAGTTTCTGCATTTTGTTCTAAATTCCTTAATGCAAATGTTGAATACTCATCCTAAGGACCTCCACAAATAATCTCCCTTCAGCACAGTGTTTCTCCTATTAGTACTGTTTTAAAAAATATCTAGATGTTCATTTTCCCAACACTAGCACATTAATACTGATAGGCTTAACCAATGAAATTGATTTGGGAATGTAATTACATTAGAAGAGCAATCATTTAATGACTACAGAGAGGGATGGAAGTTCAGATGCTGCCAAAGATCATATGGAAAAGAAATAAAGTAGAGGATGACAAAAGATTGTCACAGGCAAATTTAGGAAAAAAGACTTGGTGAAAACTCAGATATTGTAAAGGGAATTAAAATAAAATGAGAGCATATGTGTCGTTAGAGGAAAAGTGGTCCTAATGCCTGATGGGAGGATTGATGCAGTGCTCTAGACAAGTGGGAACAGAAGGAGGCTTCTAGAAGATAAGTAGCTTCTCCTAGCTGCACCTCTTTGAGTGGGATAACTTACAATTTTTTAAACTTAGTTTTGATGAGATATTCAAACATACTACTTTAGGCTTCAGAGAAGTTCGGACATGCTTTTATTGACTTGCTTTCCTGCTATTCCTATTTCACTGTTCCCACATTTTATTCTTCCAACAAAGCAGATGGCAAGCCATAAAAAAGCTGGTTTACCTTAAAGGTTTAGCAGCATCTAAATTCCCATGTGTAAAGGCTTTTTGGTTTTTTTTTCTTCAAGTACCTCCGGCTGCTACAGCAGAATGCAGAAGCTGTCAAAGCCAGCTAGATTATATTAAACATTTCCAGGGAATCACATTTATACACACAACCATTTATATGGTACAAGTACAAAGCAAGGAAGAATAACATATATCCAAAACACCCATATATACATATGAGTCCACTTTTGAACATAGTAAGTAGTAAAAAAATACTGATATAGATGGCTAAAACACTGTCTCAAAATCAAATAATATTTCCATCCCCAAGGCAATACTTTACACAACA